TGTCGCAGCCGTGGTCATGAATTTCGTTTTCGCAGATTACGATCATGGTGCATATGACTTTGCTCAGCAATGAATAAGTTAGTAGATTTCAAGTCCGACAAAAGTGGCTTGTTCAGTCTTCATGAGTTAGTATTGTGCATATAACCATTCCCCACTTTCTTCACAATCCTCTTATTATTTTAAAAAGCGAAAAACTGCCAGAATCTTTACCTTTCTTTACCTAAATCCTTTGTTCTAAAGCTTTGGGCTCTACCGCACGGTATTCATGTTGGAGGCGAGGGAATTCCACACAATTTGGGTTGCCATTTTGCTAAGTTTGTAAAATAACTCACTTAGAAATCGGCAGAACGGCTCACGGAAATCGAGCATTCGCTTTTGTCGCGTTGTCACATCGGAATGCCAGTTTTTCAGCAATCATATGAAAGTCCGTTCTCAGTTGTAATCATCTGTATGTAAAAGTTTATCTTGTACAATAGGGTGTTGAGCATTTGTTCGTCCTCTCAGTAGTTGTTAATAACCATTTCACATAACATATCGCAGATTTGCCCAACCATATGTCTGAATCAAAGTGGCAACGTGCTCTTTTGAAGCTTGAATCATTCCCAAACCAAGGTGAGCACACTAGTCCCTGATTTCATTCTTTTTTTACTCTTTTTATTTCCAGGTGCAAGCCTATGCCCTCCCTTATTTCCTTCGTATTGTGAGCCTGATCCAGAGCTGAAAACTTTCGTTAAGTTGAAAAAATGCAAGGTTCCTGTAGAAGTTTCGGCTATCCTCAAATCATACCCTCCCATCATGAAAGTTAGGATGCTCTGTTCAGAACTGGTGCGGTACTAATTGCTAGTTTTTCTAGAGATTATACAAATCATATCTCGTCACGCTGGCTTCTTACCCTTGGCATTATCAATATCGTATAGACAGCCACAGCATAAGCAGTCAATCCCTTGTGAGTAGAGGAGATATGTATTCAGTGGGTATAAGTTCTTTGTTTAGTAGACAAATTATAGCGTTCAGGTTTTGTCCCTACAAAAACGGGAAAGCTTGGTGATGCAGATGAAAGATGCAATGGAACATCGTAACCCGCAAAGTTTTG